ATAAATTTTATTTTGAATAACCGTCACAAGTGACAAGAAAACAAGAAGGGCAGTCCGTAGGGCTACTTTTCCTACAATGGACCAAAATTGAACCTGAAAGTCCCAAGTCCAAATCTAATCCCACGTGCGGCAAGGCCCACGTCTCACAATCAGCATTTAATTCCTCACACGTGTGTACCATTTATAAATTAATGCAATGCTTCTATAGCCTTTAATTTAGGGGCCCTAGTCTATCGAAAAATAAAAAGAAAAATTAAAGTACAAAAATAAAAAAAAATAAAAAAAAAAAGAAGGGGGAGAGAGAGAGAGAGACAGAGAAAAAGAAAGAAAGAACTTAGGATCCCTATTATATACAATGCATCTTTTGTCATTTTGTCCATATAGAGTGTCAACCTTATCCTTTTTACGATCAATATCACTTCTTAACAATTTTTTAGGTTTGATTGGCTCCACCAATTGAGTTGTAAAGTAATTATAGAAAATGATTTGATTAAACTATTCGTAAAATACATTTATTACATTCAATGAATCAAGCAAAATTACTTGATCATGTACAATTCCGTATCATTGAAGGTTAAGAGACTTATCACAAACATTACATCTGAACAAGGCCCACTTGAAAGGTATCAAAAACTGTTTGGTGCTTGTTTAGTAAAAGATATTGGATGAGATTTATCTTTAACATTGCTCAATAGCGTGCAGTTCACCTTATAAAACAAATAATTTCTTCATATTTCGCTATCATGTATAGTCCGTATAATTCAATGTACCAGACATGCTATCAATGACTACATTTAAACTAGGTGGCTCGTGGAAGTGGAATGGCATAGGCAAATCCCCATAAGTTTGAAATTGTTTGATCTAATCAATTTAAGAAGTGGACCCTTTTGTCTGTGGTCCAAAAGGTTTTGCAAAGATGAGTTGGGCTTAGGAGAAAATACATAATGCCATGCGTGGTGTTTTGTCCAACATGTAACTTTGGTTGTACTTTCCACTCTCCTTGAGTTGTTCTTTTGAGTATTGTACACGAAAATGTTTCTTGGTACACCAAATTTCTGTGTTGGCATGAACAAGTGGCAAACAAAGTTGCCCATACTTCATAAAGTGTTGTTTAATTTGGGAAAATTGAAATTGCCCACCCATTTATTTTGTTTGAGAAAGAGTGGATGTATTTGCTTGAATTACAAAAGGTGTCAAAGAGTTATTATTATTATTATTATTATTATTATTATTATTATTATTATTATTAATGTCTATATTAGATGGGTTTGTGTTGATTAGCGAATGATTACTTGTAGAATCGAAATATGTTACTTGATTCGAACTGAACTTTGTATCATATGATTAGTGATATCTAATGTCTTACAATTGTACCAAAGGAAAATTAGTAAAGTAAAACCCTCAATATTTCTATTATCAAATCAAGTATATCACTCATTTAAGGAACATGGCATAGTCTTAGCTTAGCAATTTTCAATCAGACGGTCTGATCCGCATCAATTAGATTCATCCACCACTTGAAGTGAATAATGTATAACATCTTGTTTATTATATTTTTTAATCTTTCAAAATATGCATATCAAACGTATTCTTAATATAAATGAAGCCATATATATCTAATATGTGCATAACATTCGCACTACGACTTTTCAAGCTTGAAATGTATAGGATAATTTACACATTAATGCATGCCTTTCATGTAAGAAAGTTGATGTTCCACATATAGTTTATGTTCACCCTTTTCAATGGTGCTTGCATATTGATTGGCCTTCATCGAGACTATGTCGGTAGATGGTAAAGAAATAGATTGATTGATCTTATAGTTAAAGAGATATTCACGAAATCAAATAAGTACCACATAATACTTATATATGGTAGGTCGCACGCGTTGAATATTCATTCCTACTAAACATCAAATCAATTCATCAACTTACAAAACGTGATATGTTAGCCGTGTAATATTAATAAGACTTAAGTTTAGCCCTTGTTTGGTTCTCATTATTTTTAAATTACATCTCTCTCTCTTATTTTTAATCACACATTTTTCAATAAAATAATATTATACGGAAACTCTAAATTTTTCAATCACACATTTTCTATTAAAATATTATTCCAAAATACATTTTCATCAGAAAAATGGGACTCAAACACGCTCTTATATACTGTTATTTTTCTAACTAATGTATGTGATTAAGTATGAAACTCATTTGAGTAATATCAGTGATCATTATTAGAATTTATCACCTACTAAGAAGATTCAATGTCACCCATGCTGAAAATTATCTCCATTAATAACGCATAGCTCAACTCATAGTCATATACATCAACTATAATAAGCATTTTCAAAAGTTCGAGGATTAAACTATAGTTATACAAAAAGCTAGCAAATTTTCCAATAGTTTGATTTCTTTGAAGCATATTAGTAAGCGTAAATTATAACGATTTCTTAACTTAGCCTATGAGAAACAAAAATGGCATGACACATCAATTTATTGATAGATCATTTCTATCATTAATTTATTCACCAATGAATTGACTGTTATGTCACTATTGCTTAATATAAATTAAATAACAGTACTTATGAGATCATTTCTTGTCGTATAATACTAATGAAGCTAAACTTCACGCATTTTTATGCATGCATATTCCTATAAGTACTTTAGTTTCTGCTTGGGCTCCATTAAAATTAGAATTTGGGAAAAATGTATTTTGGAATAGCGATTTTTTTAAAAATGTGTGATTGAAAAAGAAGGAAAAATTTTAGCGTAATATCATTTTATTGGAGAGTGTGATTGAAAATAAAAAAGAGAAAAATGTATTAATTCATCGATGGAGCTTGAACAAGGGCTATATACAAAAAGCTAGCAAATTTTCCAATAGTTTGATTTCTTTGAAGCATATTAGTAAGCGTAAATTATAACGGTTTCTTAACTTAGCCTATGAGAAACAAAAATGGCATGACACATCAATTTATTGATAGATCATTTCTATCATTAATTTATTCACCAATGAATTGACTGTTATGTCACTATTGCTTAATATAAATTAAATAACAGTACTTATGAGATCATTTCTTGTCGTATAATACTAATGAAGCTAAACTTCACGCATTTTTATGCATGCATATTCCTATAAGTACTTTAGTTTCTGCTTGGGCTCCATTAAAATTAGAATTTGGGAAAAATGTACTTTGGAATAGCGATTTTTTTAAGAACGGGTGATTGAAAAAGAAGGAAAAATTTTAGAGTAATATCATTTTATTGGAGAGTGTGATTGAAAATAAAAAAGAGAAAAATGTATTAATTCATCGATGGAGCTTGAACAAGGGCTAAGTCTTGGCAAATTACCGATCAGCTAACAGTTAAGATACAATGTACTAATCGTATTAAGTTAACCTAATTAACCTTATATATAATAAATATAGAGACAAAACAATTTCAACTTGTATAGTACTTTCACCAAAAACAATTTATTAACCGAATGTTCATCGAGTCGAACTAATATACATTCATTTTTAATCACAGAATAAATAATTGCTTATTTATAATTACAATTTTATTTTTTTTGGTGGGAATATCCGGGAAGATAGGAGGGAATGGAGGATCATGATTCAATTTAAGATGGCCATGCCCACATGTCCATGCACCCATTTCCCATACACTCCCAATCAATTATAAAAATTGTGTCCCACTGCTTAACCCCACATGGGCCATGTCCAAACCCATCGACCGACATGACCCGGACCCGCACCACATGGGCTGCTTTGCGTTATTCCCATTTATTCAACTCTACTCCTTGCTTACCCTTTTTAGGCACTGTAACTATTGGAATGCAACTTTTTCTTCTCTACTTTCAGATTTAGAAGTTTTGAAATCGATTTTGTGTAGTATAGTAAATTAGTTTATCTTCAAAGAAGAATTATTGAATGTTTGTTCCAACTTAAAAAGTTCGACGGGACATATCAGTAAAGTGAGCATTTACGATCTAATAAGTTCAAAAAATTGACTTCGAAACTCGATCAAACATGTTTATAAAGGACGATAATAGATTCACCCAACAAAGAAGCAAATAATTTTGAAAGAGGAAAAAATCAATTCGACGTCGATTTCAATTCACGCTCAGGCCTATATGAAGAGTATAATCTAATTTCATTTTAATGTTGTGTGAATTTCACATCTGAATGAACTTATAAATAGAATAGCGTTCTAAAATTTTATTAATCACATCTAAATTTAAACTACCAAGTTTTTTTCCCCCCCCCCCCCCCTCAAATACACACCAAACCTTCTCTAATCTTTGCCCCTAGGGCACATCTCCAAGTAGTAAAAGAGGAGAATGGAGAAATCTAGCTTTGCTTGAGGCTGCTGCGTCAAGGGTTCGAATCCTAAAATATGAATTTGGCTCTTGGGTAAGTGCAAGTGTACAAGCAGCCTTCCACCCTGTACCCTTGTAGGCATAACCTACGATTTACCTCCCTCACGATACTCTAAGACAGGGATGGTGGGGGACCCTCTCTCTAAACAAAATGATTTGCCTACATTAATCAACTATATACAAATATAATACATTTCAACTCAAATAAACAATAAACGTGGGACCCACGCCCAACTAAATTGATTTTGATAATCAATCTAGAATCTAACACTCCTAAAACTGACACGTAAACTCACTCCACGCTACCCAAAGATCAAATCCTCACCGTTGATTACCGGACCACAGAATTGAATATCCGGTGGTTGTAATTGTCCCACCTTTGTCCCTCCTCAGACAACATTAGCCTTAAACATGTCACACATCTATCCAACACATATATCTATTATAAAATTTGCTGTCCCACTATTAATACGCTCCTGTACTCACGTTCTCTTCACGTCCACACATTATTATTAATCATGAGCGCGTGCGAAGTAAAGCGTGTGGGACCGTTGATTTTGATGCTATGAAATTCATGCACATGAAGAATAAATCACCCAAATACTGTCTACCTTTAATCTTCCTATAAAACTTCTCTCAATAATCCCATTCTCCACAACTCGCAAATTCTCCACCTGAAAATACAAACGGAAAACTCACCGGAAAAAATTTCAGAGATCGGAAATTGTTGAAAAAATGGCGTACGAGAATGATATGAATCTGAAGGCAACTGAGTTGAGATTAGGGTTACCAGGGACAATAGATGAATCTCAGATTAAAGAACCTTCTTTTCTAAAGAGTAATAACAAGAGATCTTCAGGTGATATGGATAATTCAGCTAATGAAGATGAATGTTCCCCTGTTCCAAAGTAAGTGTCTGTGTGAATAATTGTGTGTATATATGTGTATAAGTATTAAGTATAGTTCTTTAAGGGTATGGATTTTGATGGTGATTTATGATTTCAGGGCACAAGTTGTAGGGTGGCCGCCGGTGAGATCTTACCGGAAAAATGTTCTACAGCAACAGAAGAAGAATTTCGATTCCGACGTGCTCGGGATGTATGTGAAAGTAAGTATGGATGGAGCTCCTTATTTGAGGAAGATCGATATCAAGGTCTACAAGAACTACCCAGATCTACTCGTGGCCTTGGAGAACATGTTCAAATTCTCTATTGGTAAGAATGTCGAGTTTTTTCTTACTATCTTATAGAACTTTCTGTATACAGTATTGGTCACAACTTGACGGGATTTTAACTTTTTTTCTTATATATGTCAGGTGTGTACTCAGAGAGAGAAGGGTACAATGGATCTGAATATGCACCAACTTATGAAGATAAAGATGGGGATTGGATGTTAGTTGGAGATGTTCCATGGGATATGTTTGTTAATTCTTGCAAAAGGCTTAGAATAATGAAAGGATCTGAAGTCAAAGGACTCGGATGCTTGTAAAAGCTTTAGCTATAGAACTTGGATACAAATTTACAAAATGTTCAGTTTGGGTTCTCCAAGAACCGATCCAGATCGACTGTATACAGTTCATTGTGTTGTCAAGTACGGTTACCTAGTTACGTTAAGACACGAAATAGACCTACTACTTGTATAAATGAGAGAGATTCATGTTTTTTTTTTTTTGGAAAATTTGTCATATATTTATATGAGTAAACATGATACAATACAAGATTCAAAGAATACTTTGTGCAATTTATATGGTAAGGTTCGATAATATTTTTAAAATCTTATACATTGGCCGTGTTTAAAGGTTTAGAAGACTATCGATCAAGGAATATGAAGAATCCGAGCACCCATAATTATCTGTATCTTCTATGTTCTTGATATACTGAATAACATTAAAGAAGAAAAAAGAGTTGAAATCTTTATATATCATACTATTCAATTATGCGTTCCAACTACACATGAGATGCTTGAAGTTGCAAAAGAATGCAACATTGGAAGTCTTAAAATGTAAATCTCCGTATACATGAACATAAGTTAAAATCTAGTATATTTTATATATTTAATTATGTGTACCAAATTAGGGTTTATTAATCTAAGGTTGTGCTGGTTCACCAAGATAGTATTAGGTAGATTGTATTATGATGAATAATATTCTTTTAATTTTCATTCAAAAGATAGGCATTTGCACCATGAAGTATAACACAATATGAAAATTGAGATGGATTTTAGATTGTATAAGAAAAGATATGATATACAATTTTATTTTGAATGAAAGATTAAAGAAAAATATTCACATTAATCCATCATAATAACCCTTTACCAAGTAATATCTACTATAATTTTATACTAGATTATCTACACGATCTATTCGAAGCTAAATATTTAGATCAAATTAAACCACAAACCATAAGAAAGAAAGGCCAAAAACTAACGTGGCCCAAAGTTTGTGGGCTAGGCCCAATTTCGATCATACAACACATTCTCCGCTAACGTTAGAGGAATATTTCTTTGAGAGAAAAAAAAAATCATAAATCAAGTATTAAGTATGCACTAAATTAATTTTCTGATATTAAGTTTAAAAAGGCAAAACTCGGGTGGTAAATAAAATTTATTAATTAAATAAAAATTTATATATAAAATAATACGAATCTCTTTCCAATCCGACCACAGTCATGGCATCCGTCCACGGCCATCCCCTCTTACAGTGGTTGACATCTACTCTCATAGTCATCGACATCCAAATAACTTTGCCGGAGAAAAGATAAAATCTACAGAGATTGTCCATGACTGACAATCTTCTTTAGCGATGAGCTAATAGTAGAGAGAGGAAGAAACATAGCGATCGTTGAAAAACATTAACTGAATATCATTGGCAACTGATCAACGCCTGAGCAGTGCTACTGTAATTTAAATCTATTTTTAAAACTGGAATTGAAAAAAACCACTGGTGTAATTTACAAAGTATTCACCGGATTAAATAACTTCAATTCTTGTTGTAGAAAATCTAATTAATTGAATTTTGGACCAATTCGAAAAAAAATCAATGGCATTTGACAAGTTCTCTTCAATGTACATTGACCTGTTGCCTGTTATATTGTTATAATGACATGTGACCATTGCCCCGTAAACTATAATCAATGACTTGTGAATATCTATTAAATATAAAATATAGCATGTGACTTGTGAGTGGTGACATACGACCTATGAACTATAACGTGCGAACTATAATTTGTGATCAATTAATATTGACATGTAAACTATAACATGTGACCTAATAATATTAACCTATTACTGTAACTATATGACTTGTGAATACTGATCTATGAACTATAATCTATGATCTGTAAACATATGTGACATGTGTAATATGAACTGTAACATGTGAACTACGACATGTAACATGATAGCTATAACTTGTGACCAATTAATATTGACCTATAATATGACATATGACACGTGAATGGTAACTTGTGACCTATGA